GGTGACATGTGCATATGTCTTTGTGTGCTGGAGATTCAGGCTTAAGTGCTGGCTGGCTTTACACATTTGTACCCTGTGCTTATCTGAGTCCTTGCTTCTTGTTCCTGCCTGTGGCCTCCTGCTCCAGGCTGAGCAGTTCTACAGAACAGAGCACCTCCTCTCGGCTAATTCGCAAGCACAAATGTCGTCGGAGGAAGCAGCGCTTGAGGCAGACAGACCGGGTAGGCAGCAGGAGGGTGGGGTATCTGCTCTGAATGGTGCCCACACAGCCCCTCATTGGGTCCCTCCACAGGCGTCCTCCTTCAGCAGCATCACTGACTCCACCATGTCCCTGAACATCATCACCGTCACTCTCAACATGGGTGAGGCCTTATGGGTTGGTGGGTGCTTGGTGGGGGTGGGTACAAGCCTGGGAGCCTTTGGGGCCTGCTCATGGCCCCTCCTGCAGAGAGGCACCACTTCCTGGGCATCAGCATCGTGGGCCAGAGCAACGACCGGGGTGATGGCGGAATCTACATTGGATCCATCATGAAGGGCGGGGCTGTGGCTGCTGATGGCCGCATTGAGCCAGGCGACATGCTGCTGCAGGTGGGAGCCATGTGGGGACTATGGGGACAAGATGCACCCCCATCCCACCACCAATCCCTGACCCCACAAACCCCATAGGTAAATGATGTCAACTTTGAGAACATGAGCAACGATGACGCTGTGCGGGTCCTTCGGGAGATCGTATCCCAAACGGGGTGAGGGGGGATCCATGTGGGGATGGTAAGGGCATGGGATGAGAGGGGTTGTATGGCCCTCACCCATGTGTTTTGCTAAACTCTACAGGCCCATCAGCCTCACAGTGGCCAAGTGCTGGGACCCAACCCCTCGGAGCTACTTCACCATCCCAAGGGGTGAGTAACCCCATGGTGGGGTGGGGTAGGGTGGGGTTCGTAGGCCCAGTCTGAAGGGTCTTTCTTCTTTGCCTCTGTGCTATCCCCCTACTTTCTATCACCTGCCATCTGTTGCCATGTGGTAACTGTCCAGCTGACCCAGTGCGACCCATCGACCCGGCTGCCTGGCTGTCCCACACAGCAGCGCTGACGGGTGCTCTGCCCCGCTATGGTACGAGTCCCTGCTCCAGTGCCATCACACGCACCAGCTCTTCCTCACTAACCAGCTCAGTGCCTGGCGCCCCACGTAAGTGGCAGCTTACAAGAGCCCCACAGGAAACTGAGGCTGAAGGACAAGGGCCCGCCCCAGCTTTTAGCCTTGGTGCTCACCGGAGCTATTCCTGGGGCCCATTATATATGATGTGTCTTTCCCCAACACCTTCACAAACATGTACACAAAGATACATGTACACATCTCTCATAGCCCAGCCATACAGGCCATCTGGATATGCCCGGCCTGTGTTGAGGATTGGGAGGACATGGTGGCCTCTGCTTTGCTTTCCTGCTGCCTAACATAACTAACAGCTTGAGCTCTCCAGGGAGGTGTCCATGGGGAAGGAAAGGGACTGGCTTGCCATATGAACTTGGACTGTGGAACTGGGGAGAATATTCCAGTTTTAGCTCAAGATATTGCTGAGAGATACCTCCCAAGGGTAGGGGATGGAGGTTATGAGCCTGGGCTCCCAGCTTCAGGCAGCTCAGAGCTCAGCCCCTGCATGTTGGTTTCTTGCCTGGGCTCAGAGAACTGTGCCTTGCAGAGCTTGAGGAGGCACCACTGACAGTGAAGAGTGACATGAGCGCCATTGTCCGGGTCATGCAGTTGCCAGACTCAGGACTGGAGATTCGGGACCGCATGTGGCTTAAAATCACCATTGCCAATGCTGTCATTGGTGAGTCCCTGGCTGTGTGGGAAGGGCCCAGTCTGTTCTTCATTCTGGTGTAGCTCCCCAGGGCTCAGCTACCCTGACTTTCCTGGGCCTGTGGCCAGGGGCGGATGTGGTGGACTGGCTGTACACACACGTGGAGGGCTTCAAGGAACGAAGGGAGGCGAGGAAGTACGCCAGCAGTATGCTGAAGCACGGCTTCTTGAGGCACACAGTCAACAAGATCACCTTCTCTGAGCAATGCTACTATGTCTTTGGGGACCTGTGCAGTAGTGAGTAGGGGGTCTTGGGGTGGGGGTTGTTGTGGGGCTCATTTATTCGCCCTCACTTACCTGTCCCCTCCCTTCCTGCCAGACCTTGCATCCCTGAACCTCAACAGTGGCTCCAGTGGAGCTTCAGATCAGGACACACTGGCCCCCCTGCCCCACCCATCTGTACCTTGGCCTTTGGGTCAAGGCTACCCCTACCAGTACCCAGGGCCCCCGCCCTGCTTCCCACCTGCTTACCAGGACCCTAGCTTCAGCTATGGCAGTGGCAGTGCTGGGAGTCAGCAGAGTGAAGGTGAGAGTCACGCCAACCCCTCCTCCACTCCCACTTCCTGGCTCTGCCTGGCCTTGCTGCTGTCCTCTGTGCTCCTGCTGTGTGCTTGAGTCCTGGTGGGTCCCATTTCAGGAGTCAGTGTGGGGCAGGGAGGGGGCTGATATGGGGAGCTCACTTTGGTTCTGCGGATAGAGGCCTTTGGGAATAGGAAGACTGCCTGGTGGGAACAGGCCTGGTGCTCCAGGTGGCAGAGGCAAGAGGCCAGGAGGTGATGTGGCAAGAATGAGGGTGAGAATAGCCGAGGGTATCAAGTAGGGTTACTCTCTAGGCCCCATGCTAAGGAGAGGATGGCCTTTATCAGTTATGATACCTGTGCCAGATAAGAACAGCATACAGTGCCATTAGCGTATATCCTAGGGATATTGAAGATCTTGGAGGGTGGGTGTCCCTGAAGAGGAGATAGGTTGAATCAGGCGTCTTAGGCAGAGTGGAGCACAGCAGCCATGCTACAAGGTCTGGAAAAAGACTCAAGACACCTTTGAGGACAAAGGATGGGAGAAAGGAGAGGTTGGGCCAGAGGGTGGCAATGCCCAGGGGGAAACTGTTGAGTGACTACTGACCCTGAACAAGGCTCTTGCATGCACCCAAGCTCAGCTTGACTCACAATAGTCCTAGTTGGCCATTGGTGACCACTGGACTGGTGTGTGACTTGTGCTATCCCTTGCTTTGTGCTGAGCAAGCCTTAGACTGAAGGACTAGCAGAGTGGACCCTCGGGCCGGTAAGCCAGGTCCCCCTGTGTCCCTCTCAGCATGTCCCCAGCCAGCACGTGTTTTCAGGTTCCCACCACTTTCTGGACAGAAGCTAAGACAATTAGCTGACCAGGGCCCCTAGGGTTGGGTGGACAGTGGGTCTTTGGGTGGTGAACCCAGGATGGCTAATGGGAATGCTGGGCACACAGGGCCTTCACTGGTGTCTTAGATTCTCAGCTGTAACATCAGTCCTTGGTTCAAGCATTGGGGTTAGGTGTGGGGTACTAAGCTGGCCCCCATTATCTCTCCTGTCTGCAACTGCCCCTAGCTCCTTGCCTCTCATCTGCTCCTGGTATCTGCATGGCTGCCATTCCCCTACCACCCCAGGCTCACCAGGTCCTGACCTGGCTGTCTGGGAGCAGCTGGTGGTCCTGGAAGTGGCTAGGCCTGGTGTTGACTCTGTTGTTCCTTCCCTTCTCCCAGGGAGCAAGAGCAGTGGGTCCACAAGGAGCAGCCATCGGACCCCAGGCCGAGAGGAGCGCCGGGCAGCTGGAGCTGGGGGTAGTGGCAGCGAATCAGATCACACGGCACCAAGTGGGTCTGGTAGCACTGGCTGGAGGGAGCGTCCAGTCAGCCAGCTTAGCCGTGGCAGTAGCCCTCGAAGTCAGGTGTCAGCTGTTGCCCCAGGTCTCCCCCCACTGCACCCCCTGACAAAGGCCTATGCAGTAGTGGGTGGGCCACCTGGAGGGCCACCTGTCCGGGAGTTGGCTGCTGTTCCTCCGGAACTTACAGGTAGCCGCCAGTCCTTCCAAAAGGCCATGGGAAATCCCTGTGAGTTCTTTGTGGACATTATGTGACTATCAACCAGTGTTTTCAGTGCTGCCTGTGGCAAGAGTCTGTGGTTCTGCTGTGCCAGGACCTCTATAGGCTTGCCTTAGTGGTGGCTAGCGAGGATAGATCAGCTGTGGGGTCTGGGCCAGGGCAGACGGAGCAGGCTGCAGAGGAAGGGCTGAGGGCAGCAGCCATACTACTAGGATATGGGCTTGGTGTTCTGCCTGCTCTGTGGTGCAGCTCAAATATCTGTAGAGTCTTGTGAGGGAAAATCTCTGTCTTTAGGTCCATAGCACAAGTCTCAGTGACCATCTTCTGGGTCCTTTTTTGGAAGTGACCTCCATTTAGGACAAGAAAGACTCTTGGGCTCTGTGCTCTCCCCTCACCCCTGCCTGAAACTCTCAGAACTGTGCACAGGGACCCAGGCTGACTCTCACTGAGTTCCTGGGCCTAACTGTCAGGCCAAGGTGGGGTTCTTGAGGGGTTAGACTGAGCCTTTAAACCTCTCTGGCTGCCCATGTGGGGTCTAACTTATTTATTTATTGCTAGCCTGCCTGCTCTGAGGGTGGTAGCTGGGTTACCCAATGGGGGCAGGTGCATGTCCCTTTCTCCACTTGGTACTCAGCACATGATAGCACAGTTTGTACTGAAAGTATGTGGAGGATGGCTAGTCCAGGAGACAAGAGAGGCCAGGCACCCGTATACTGTCCCCGCTTCAGTGGAGGGGTGATAGCACACACAATAGCTACAGAGGTGGGGTCCTGTCCTGTCATGGCTATCCTGGTGGCTCTCCACCAGCATGTGCCACTGCCATTCTGGCATCGCAGCCCCACATATCTGCACTGTAGATACTGTGTCAAAGTCTGAGCAACTGGGTAGTTCACATACAGCTGCTTCTGTGTAAATGCTGCTTCTGTGTAAATGCTATTTTAAACACTAAAAAGCGTTTAATTTTATGGGACTGATGTGTGGCCTGTTTCTTTCTCCAGCTAAGCTGCTTTGGATTCAGGTGTGGGGGTTAGTTCAGAATTGACTCAGGTCTGGTCCTGTCTGGAGTTGGAAGATACTTAGTCATGTGGCTCTGTCCCTGGTGCTGGCCAGTTACAGGGGTCTTGTAGGCATCTTTTCTGTCCTTGGTACTAGGAGCAGACTGTAGGGGTCCTGGGTGTCTGGTGCTGGCCATGGTGCTGACACGTACCCTTGCTTATGCTCTGTCCAAGGTGCTGGTAGTGACTTGGTTCTCTCCTCAGGCTAAGATTGGGCCAGAAAGGGAGGAGGCTGGATGTTTCCTACCTATTGAGTGCCCTCTACCTGCTGGCTTTCTTGCTTTGTCCCAGTGTGTACATATGCCCAGCCTTCTATTTCTGGGATGCCTGTTCAGGGTGCTGAGGGCCCCAGGCTTGGTATATTCAGGCAAGTAGTACCTTCTGGCTTCCTAGGGCCTGCCTAGGACATTCCTGAATTCAGGATATGGCTATGGAGTCCCAAAGAACGCTTTGTGGGCCACTGGGCAGGCCTTAGGTGGGGCATAACAGGATCAAGAATGATCTTGCCTTTGAGGGATAGGTGGGATCATAGAGTCCATCTTTTACACTGAGGGCCTGTGGGTCACTATGGGGCTAAGGTCAGTGGATAATTTGGAGTCAGTTTATAGTTAAGTGTCTCAAGTCTCAGGTTGAGGTACTGTCTGGGGTTGTTGGCTTGGAAGGTCTCTACTAGGGTTGGGCTCACTAAAGGTGAGGTCATTGGGTCATTGGTCACTTATTGTGTCCCTGAGTTATCACCCCCACCCCCACTGTTGCTCCCATCTGCTGTTTCCTTGCGGCTCCCTCCCAGGAAGAACTCCTGGGTGTTGAGCTTTGGCAGCCACAGAAGTATATAGCACTTGGGTAGGTAGAAGGTGGCCAGGATGCCCAGAGCACAGAGCAGAATGGCACCCATCTGTACAGCTGGCTGGTAAGCCACCTGCACATTGGCCAGGAGGGGCACAAAAGAGACCCAGGTGATGAAATAAGCTAGCATGGCAAAGGTGAGACCACGGGCACGGTTGTAGCGACCAGGCTGGCTCTGTACTAGGAAAGTGCCCAGGAAGCAGAGGAAGGCCAACATTGCATTGGTGATGTGTACCAAGCCTAGGCTGGCCCAGGAATGCATGTGGCAGTGCTCCAGTACCTCTGTGGGCAGCACCCGCTTGTCTGTCATCACTTTTGGTGGGAAAGCTGTCAAGTACCAGGTACATAGTGCTGCCTCCACAAGAATGGCCAGCAGTACCACCAGCCAAGCCCAGGGTCCCCGAAGGCAGCTACATAGCCAGTTTGCCCAGCTCAGTGGCAGCTCAGACTCCACAAAGATCTCAGCTGCTTGCAGGAAGAGTGTGCTCAGGCAGCCTGTGAGAGGAAGGTGAACCAATGGCTGTTGAGCAAGGCAGCTGGCAAGGCTTGGCTGTCCTGGGAACAGAAGGACACTGAGGCAGAAGAAGCCTAGGCAGACCAGGCCAAAGCAGAAGAGTGACCCACCTGAGGCCTGAACAAGAGGACTGTCCCAGTGGTGGACAAAGAGGCCCAGGGAGACCAGTGCTAGGCCTACCACCAGGCAGAGCAGCAGGAGTAGTGACAGCACAGTTGGCTCTCCCCAAGCCAGGAACCTAGGCTTGCGAGGTAAGCAGACTGTGCTTTTCTCTGGGGACCACTGATCCTCGTTACATTGAGTGCAGCTGAAGTCATCTGCAATAAAAGAAAGAAAAAGCAATGTGGGGGCTGGTGATGGGAGACAGAATTTCCCAGCCCCCCCCCACAGGCTCCTCAGCATTAGCCTTGGAGAGGGTGTCACTTGCCAAGCTTGTGTGCTTCTACCCCCTAGCCAAACTCTGCAGATTATCTAGGGAAGGTGGGTCACCTGGATGTTTCCGGTAGCTGCCTGCCTTGCAGTCCACACAGTCATAGCAGCAGGAGTGGAAGCCCTTTACTCTGCGCACCTGGCCATCTTTGCACTGTCGGGAGCACTGGGACACTGGCACCTGGACATGGAGCCTTGGGTTAGGCTCTCCTTGGCTAGCACTGGCCCAAGACCCACAGACAACCCCAAGCCTGTACCCAACATGGCTTTTGCCTATCTTGTCCTTACTTGGTTCTCTGGCCAGTACATCTTGGAGTGCTGCAGCTGAAGGGTGCCATTGAAAGTGCCCACAGTGTGCAATGCAGGTGTAGGGCTCTGCCACACCCACATCTTCAGGTCATACTCCATGTCTACGTTCCCTTTAGCATCAAATTGCAGTGTCAAGTCTCGAGCATGGAAACTCATGTTGTACATGTTCTCCAGGAGCTGTGGGGTGGAGTGGGGGTAAGGCTGACCCATGAGCCTCTCCAATCAAGGCAGGATTTAGCTCTGCCTGGTGGCTCAGTGTTCCTGAATGAGCAGGCATAGACCCAGCAAAAACCCTACCCTCACCTGCCAGGGTTGAACAGGCTCTGATACGGGGCAACTTGAGACATTGCACTGTAGGGTGTTGTGAAGGGCCTGGGCCACACTGTACACAGCTGCATAGGTTGCAAAAATCTGGTGGTGCAACTGCCCAGCCGATAGGTTCTGCAGCAGTCCAGATGACAGGTTCTGCAGCATGATGTGGTCACACTGTGGACAGCGTTGCCCCATTACTTGTTCCTCCAGGTCCAACTCAGCTTTCAATGAGGCACAGAATGTTGGGTCAGCAGCCAGGGCAAGGTGGGTCTCCACATAATGGGAGAATTCGGGCAGTGGGGCACCTCGCTGCAGAAACCCAAGCACAGTGCCCACACGGGCAACATTGGATAGTTTCATGATCAGGTCAGAGGTCAGCCAGGACTCACTAGCCACCCATACCTTGGGTGAGAGGCCATGACGGATGCTGTAGTCAAAAAGGAATTTGACAGCACGGGAGGAGGCAAACAGCACCACCACTTTCACATTGCTTTGGTTCACTTGGTGTAGCACATCCAATACCTTGCCAGGCTGTTGGCCGCTGGTGTCCTGCAGCGGCACCAGGCCCTCATGTGCGATGCAGATACCGCGTGCATTGGCCAGGCCAGAAAAGATGCTCAGACCTTCCCGGCCATAGTCATCATCACTCCCTAAGGCAGCCACCCAGTTCCAGCTGAAACTCTGCAACAGAGTCACAATAGCCTCCAGCTGCACCCGGTCACTGGGCACCGTGCGGAAGAAGGATGGAAATGTTTCCCGGTCGCTTAGCCGATCCATGCTGGCGCTATAGCTGACCTGTGGTGATCAAGAAGCACCTCCTGATACGAGAGCTCAGTGAGAATGATTGATTGAGGGAACGCAAGGGAGGTGGGCTCACCTGTGGCATGAGAAAGAAGCTGAAGAACTTGCTTGTAATAAGGGCAAGTTCTGATGAGTGGGGCCCAATGACAGCCAGCACACGGGGTTGGTACTGTGTATAGTTGCAGTAGGCAGCAATACTTCGACTGCCCACCTTTGCCAGGAACATGAGACTGGGCTTCATGGTGACCACCGGCTCTGAGCATGTGTCAAATAGGTCATAGCCTAGGCGCAGCCCAGGAAGCAAGGCAGATCCATTGTTGATCTCCTCTATAGCCATTTTCATAGCCATGACCAGGAACAGACCAAGCGGTGAGAACCTGAGGCCACATGGAATTGCAGGTGATCACCAACTCACCCCCAGCTTGGGAGTACCACAGACCCAAAACTGCCAGGCTTCAAGCCCACACCCATCCCAGTTACTAGCCTCCATACCTGGTGCACAAGATGCCATTGGGTCGTGTTCTCTGGTAGAGGGTGTCCTCCTCAGGTGAGCCCAGAGGAAATAGCCCACCCAGTATGTAGTCCCCTTGTGCCTTGAGTTGGTGTGACAGGCACAGCGAGGCCCCCGTCCCAAGGCCCAGGAGAGCAGCTAGGCTGAGGCTCAGGATAGCTAGGCCTGGCATGGTAGGTAGAAGATTCCAGCAGAGACAGTAGGTGGTTGTGTTGGGCTGGAGCCCCAGATATACTGAGTTCATCGGGAAGGAGCAGAGAATTTGGTTAGCAAAACTGCTGCTGTGCTTGGCTGCCAAGCCCCAAGGGGCTCCGGTGATATGCTCAATAGCTCAGACCTGATGGTTTGTGTATACTGGACTCATCTTCCTATCATTAATATGCTCTCTGTCCAAAAGTGACCCAGTAAGCCAACTGTGCCCACTGGCTGTGGCCTTATCGCCTTCCTGTGCCCAAGCTCCTCAGCTCCCTTCATTCCTAGAGCAGCCTAGCAGTCTATAAAGAGGATGATGAAGCATTCAGGATCCCAGGGTTTCCCTTGACTGGGATTACGGGGACGGATACAAGGGCTATTCTTGAAGGCACAGAGACACCTTTTATCTTCTGGCTTCTGATTTGAGGCAGTACTGTCAATAGACAGGAGCTGCAGAGGTGGTCTCTCAACAATGACAGTAGACATCTGTTTAGCCAGGGCTCTAACCTTCAGATGGGGTAGGGAGAGTTGGGACTGAGTTTCCTGGGTGTTCCAACCTGCCTGGGTCCTGGGACAGACTCATTGAGGGTCCCAGCTGTTCTTCTGGCATTCTGGAAGCTGTAGAGACCCTTGCCCATTCTGCTGATGCTTGGTGTAAGCCCTCCTCCTGCCTTAGCAGTCAGAGTGCCCACAGCTGTTCCATGAAAATGAGAAAAGGCCATAAACAAATAGGTTCCTGCAGCTGCTAGGGCCAGGTGTGTGTTTGTATGCAGTTCAATAGTTCCTTCTTAGCCTCTTCCCTTGTTCTGGCTAATTTTATGTCAACTTGACACAAGCTAGAGTTATCTGAAAGGAGTGAGCCTCAATTGAGAAAAAGCCTCCATATGATCTGGCTGGAGGGCATTCTCTTAGTAATTGATGGAGGAGGGCCTTCTCATTGTAGGTGGTACCACTCTTGGGCTGGTGATCCTGGGTTCTCTAAGAAAGCAGGCTGAGCGAGTCAGTAAGCAGCACCCCTCCAAGGCCTCTGCATCAGCTTCTGCCTCCAGGTTCCTACCCTGTGTGAGTTCCCATCCTGACTTCTTCCTTTGAATATGAACAGTGCTATGTAAGCATAAGCCAAATAAACCCTTTCCTCCCCAAGTTGCTTTGGTCATAATGTTTCATCACAACAATAGTAACCCTAGCTAAGACATCCCGGGGTATGAGAGTGCTATTGCTAACATAGCAGGTTTCTGGCACCCAAACATTGGGGAGGCTGTTGACTCTTGTTGGAATAGGTACCTGGGTAATCTCAATGTCATATGGCATCTACCAAATGTTATGGAAATGACCTTTGCATTTCCCTGCTGCCCTGTGACAATGTCCACAAAGCACGTGCACACTCAACACACCATGAATCTGTATGTAGCACATATGTCTGTTGCTATATACTTATTTTCTGGCTAGTCTCTTGAAGTCATCAGCCTTGGCTAGAACTATGTGGCCTCTGGTTCTTATCTGGGTATAGGTGTAACTGGATAATATACAGCCTAAGCAGATGAGGTGGGTATGGAGTACCAGGAAGACACCACTCATTATGCATCCTCAATCTACATAGCTCTAGTTTTCCTCCAGCTTTGTCACACAGTGCCTTGGTATCTTTAGATCTTTTTTACAACCTAGCCCCTCAAGGTGGGTGACCCAGGTTTTTCTTTTCTTATTTGTAAAGTGGAGATAATGCAGATCTCAGTGTATGTGTGTGATAAAGATACATCAGGAACAAATGCATGGCAACTCCTTCATTTCTGGCTACTGGTTAAACATGTTTCATGCTTTCATGGTTCATATTGCTCTTCCAGTCCTCAGGATTGGGGACACATGATTCAGCCTTGTCCCTAGGGTTAACTCCCTCCCCACCCATATAGGTAGGTACTTTTATGTTCTTCCCTCACATAATCAGGCACCTGACACACCTGTGACCCATCCTAGAACACCATACCCAATCATGTAGGTGTAATTTATTTGTGTTGGAATACTACATATATCATAGTTCTTGAGGAAAGAGATATTTATGCACATCACCTACACTGGGGACACTGTCTTAGGTTTAACATTGAGACCCAGTGGGAGAGGTTAGGGTCTTATGCATTGGGTGTCAACCATGCTGGGTGTGGTCATCTGACAGCTAGACAAGGGGGCCTAGCCCCCTTCCACAAGTCACGTCCTATCTAAGGCACTTGAGTACCATGATGACAGGAGCAGCAGGGCTGGCTAGAGAGAGGCGTGGTTTGGCCAATTAGTATTGACATTTTGGAATCTAGGGGTGCCCGTGCTGCAAGAGCACCCCTGCAAGAGGCTCCCTTCTGAAGGCTGATGCTACCATATCGCAGAAGCTGTGAAGCAGGCTGCACTGACCAGAGCAGGCTTTCCTGGGGAGGTCTCAGCCAGCAGTTTCAGACAGTTTCTATTTCCAAGGAGACAAGGGGCCTGTTTGATATGCAGAGGCTGACAAGCAGGTGAAGGGCAGGGAAAAGTCTTCAGTACTCATGCCACGGCCAAAGGAACCTCATCTTACCCAAGGACAGCTTTTGGAATATGAAGAGGCCCCAGGCATGCAGGCCCAGGGCTGTCTGCCTGGCACCGATCCATGTCTCAAGCTCAAGATGGGCACAGGAAGGATACACATTGGCTGGGCAGGCTGACTGTGGGGGAGACAGAACCTCAGCTCCAGGGTCCTGTGCCCTTATACCATTTCAGATTCCACATATGGGAGGCAGAACATGACTCTCCTTCCCCATCTTCTCCATTTGCCATCTGCATTTCAATAAGGCCTGACTGAACACACACATAACTAAAGTGGAGGGCAAAACTGGAGTTCAATTGTCTCATCCTGGATCATGAGCATGACTAGCACCCACCTCAGCTTGGTTCAGCTGCCCACCAGCCTGTGGCTCTCAACCAGCTCAGCTTTCAGGGGTGACAGTAGCATCCGGAAAGCACTGCTGTGGGAGTAGATCCCAGGTTACCCAAGCCCAGTTCTGAGCAGGGGAAGCCCAGATGGTATGGGCACCACCACTAGGGCAGGTCTAGCAGGGAGTGCTCAGCATAGAGCGTCTGGGAAACGTTATACACATGCTCAATGAAGGGTAGCGCCTCTCCCAGCATCTCCACTGCCTGCTCAGAGGACCCCACATTCATGGTCTCGAGAAAGACCTTGCGGGTGGGCAGGGCGCAGAAGGCCACAGTGACGGCTTGACGCACGATCCAGGAGTGGTAGGCAGCCAGTGTGGCATTATAGGCATCACTGCAGAGTGTGGAGGTACGAGCATCCTCAGAGCTGGTGCGCAGGCCTTCCAGGAACAGTTGTAGCCAGCGCAGAGCACGATGTAGGCGCAGCACAGTCCGGCAGCCTGAGTTAGGGTATCGGGAACGGGAGCGGCGATCTATGTCCACCAGCTTGTTGCCCACCTCATAGGCTACCATGGACTGCAGGCTAGTGTAGTGTTCATACTGTGGGCTGTTCCTCAGATGCTCCATTATCTGCAGCTTTGAGACCACATCCTTGGAAATGAATGAGAAGACGGCACCCAGGCTGTTCAGAAACCTGTGCAAGGAAGTATAAAATTTGAGGCCCTACCTAGACTGGCGGTCATGCTGTACTGCAGGAGATATTACCTTGAATCTGCTAAGCACTTGTTAGTCTGGAGGCAAGGGCAGGAAGGGCTGAATGAAACTGTCTGCTAGCTGTTCCCATGCCCCTACGCCATATGGAATGCAGGTGTCCCATGTGAACTCTGACTGGCAAAACCACTGTCTTCAGCAGCCCCAATAAACGCACCTGACTAGCCCCTTCCAGCTGTTGATATAGTGGTCCAGCAGCACCTCTTCCTTCTCATTGAGACACTGCTTGAAGCTGATTAGGACGACTTTAAGGTTGAAATCTGCCTCTGGGTCATCCATCTTCCAACATGAGCTGAAATAGTTTTACACAGAACTTGTAGTCATCACGCTGGATTAGCTCACTCTGTGGTTCATATTCTCAAGAAGGGGTTGGGAAGAAGGTCTGAAAGCAAAAGAGGGATGCTAAAACTGTTTGCTGAGAATCATCCCTTTACCTGAGTGTCTTCCTCAGGAGCTGCAAGCCAATTTGACCTTGCTGTGCCCTTGGTGAATCCTGTACCCAGAGATCTTGACATGGTTGCTCCTGGCCCTTCAGGCTAATAATTTGGTCAGTTTCTGACCTGGGATTCCATGGCTGCACTGTTTGCATCTGCTATTGCTTCTTGCTTTCCTGCTTCTTCTCTTCCTAGAGCATCTGATTCTAAAAGGTAGGCATAGTCCTGGACCCTGGCCATACCTGGAACTCACAGTATCAGGGCAGCATTCTGATGGGAAGTTCTACCAAAACAAAAATCAGGACTCTAAAAAAGCAAGTGATTTTCACACAGGGGAGAACTGAAAGGGTAGCTAGACAGGCTTTCCCTTCCTTCATCAGTGCTGTATGCCCAAAATTAAATCGGAGGTTGTGGGCTGGCATCTGCTAGACAGACAGATAGACACCCTTGTTGTTGAAATGGTATGCATCCCCAAATAACAGGGTAGCTGAGCCAAAGGTCTTAACACACACAAAGGATTGCTAAATAAGTCCTCCCATTAGTTCCAGAGCACATTCTGGAAGTGATCCAAGATAGGGAGAGGCCTTAAGGTAAGGTGGGGCTCTGGGTACTGTAGGCATTTTAACAGTCACTCCACAAACATTCTAGTTCCCTTATTTATTTATTTAATTAATTTTCAATTGTAGGGACTGAGCTTAAGGGCCTCTTGTATGCTGGGCAGAGAATAGCCTGGAATAGCCTAGGCAGGCCTTTAACTTTCTTTTTCTTCCTTTTTTTTTTCTTTTTTGTCTTTTCAAGACAGGGTTTCTGTGTAATAGTCCTGTCTGTCCTGGAACTCAGTGTGTAGACCAGGCTGGCCTTGAACTCACAGAGATCCACCTGCCTCTGTCTCCCAAGTGCTGGGATTAAAGGCATGCATTAAAAGGTATGTACCACCACTGCCTGGTCAATTTTATTTCCTTAATGTGTTGTTTTGAGACAAGGTTTCTATGTGTAATCCTGGTTGTCCTGGACCTCACTCTGTAGACCAGGCTGGCCTTGAACCCAGATTTGCCTGCCTCTGCTTCATGATTGCTGGGGTTAAAGGCGTGTGTTACCACACCTGACTAGGCTTTCACTTTCAACCTTCCTGCTTCCTGAGCAGCTAGAGCTACAAGCTTGTGCCCCACAGTCCTTTTGTGCTCACAGCTTGAATGGAGAACTCCAAGCATCCAGCCCCCACCTTCCCTGGTACTGTAGAGCCTTCTCTTGGTGTCCAGGACCAACCCTGTGGGATGTGGGTGAATCTCACCTATGTTCAACACGAACACTCAACACCAGTTCTGGAGGTTCCTGTGTCCCTTAGTGCTGGATCCCTGCCCTAACCGTTGTACCATCAAAGTCCCCCCAAAAACCATTCTCATCTGTCTGTATCTGTGGGCAAGTTCTTTTTTTTTCTTCTCTCTCTCTCCTTCACACAGTCCTATGACTAAGTCCTTCAGCTCTGGGAATGTAGTCTGCATGTCTCTCAATACATGGCTGAGGCTGTCAGAGTTGTGATATAGCCCCATGGGTTGGACTGGATTCCCGTCACAAGTTCCAGACCCTGACCCTGGAGATGGGCTCACCTTGTGTTCAGGTGTCAGGGACAGCCTAAGAAAGATGGCGACGCCCTGAGTCTTGTCACACACTCCCCTCTTAGGGCCTGCGTGCTGCCCACTGAGCAAACTGTTCATTCTTTGGCCACCTAACAATCCTGCAGTCAGGCCTTCCTGCTCAGAGCTTAACCCAGGAGCCAAGTAGCCATTTAAGAGCTGTAGGTGGTAAATTGAAAAGAACAGGAAGAGAGGTCGACTCCCGGAAGGTGATGCAGGGTACGTCTAAGCCTCCTACAGGAGATCAAGCTAGGCAGGTGGACAGCCGGCAGAAGGACCACAAGCTAGCTAGCACACAGCATATACACCCGGGCGTAGGTAGCAGTGAGCCAGGGCCGTTCAAGGAGGTCCGCAAATCTCACCTGGGACGGGTTCCTGTGGCGAAGGGCAAAGGATGTGGCAGAGGTCAGTGATGGGGAGGGTTGACCACAGTTACAATAAGGTTGCTGCGGGAGCCGAATCTTTGCCTGTCCGTCCCGGTTGTCTACGGAGGCTCGACTCCGAGGCCTGGATCACGTCAGGTAGGCGTCCCCATGCTTCTCCCACGCCCGGAGCCTGTTTGGAGACACCTCGAAGTCTGCGGTTGGGCAGAAGTCTTGAGTTGCAGCCCAAGGGTCAGCCCCTGCCCCGCCCTTCGCTACCGCGCCATCCCAATTGGCTGCTGATCATCCAATTAGAACTCGACGTATCGGCCCGCGTTTCCGGCGCGAGGACAGGAAGCCGGCGTCTTGGCAGTTGCGCCTGCGCCTTGTGTGAGAGTCGCAGTGTCTGGGCGTGCGGGGGTGGGGGGGCCGTCTCACCCGCGCGCGCGCGAGGTCGGAGGCCTTCCTGCGGGCGGTGCACGCGGGCTGTGGAAACGCGCAGGTCGAGACTGCCTCCTGGACGATGCCTGAAATAAGAGTCACTCCCTTGGGTGAGTCCGAGTCTGAATCATCTCCTGCGGCGTCCCGCGAGTCGGGCCGGTCCCCTCATAGCAGCCTAGCAATACAGCCAGCGACCAGCCAGCCCTCCACCAGCTGTGCGCCCCAAGGAGCGAAAGTCGTAGCAGAACGTTTCGGAGTTGGTGCTTCCTCATCTCTGTGTGGCACGGGGGGGGGG